GACTTTTTTTTTACTTTTTAAATTCGCTTAGTGGGGGGGTGGAGTCCAACTGCGTCCACTTGGCACGACGGCCACTAATTGGCTTATTGTAGCCTGCCCCGGGTGATTATGATGATGGAGAATTTGGTGGAATGAAGATTGGCAGGGGAAACCCGCCCCAGCGCCACTTTGTTCACCACAAATCTCACTTGACCATACCCGGGATCGAACCCGGGCCATCACGGTGGGAAGCCAGCGACTAACCTCTTGAGCTATGGCGCGGTCTTCATGCAGACTTAATTCTTTTAGTGATATAATCATTCAAGTTAGGCACGGTTAGAGTAATTAACGTACTGAAAAATTATACAGTTAGTATGTATTAATCTTTAGGTTTTAGATATCAGACGAAAATAGAAAAGACATGAAAGTAATGATACTAAACATTAGCCGAATTTAAGTTACTCACAATTTCTTCGTGATTGTAATTTTTATTTATTGTTGTCGTTCCCAAATATTTGAACATTATCACTTTTCATACAATTTTTAGGTCTTTTATTAAGATTTTTCCCTGTATTCTTGTGGCGAAACATGAACGCACATAATTTTCTCTGCATATACTTGTAGACCATTCATGTTATTAGAATGTGATGGAGCGTATGTGTTCGTCTTTGTCGTAGTTATATTTCCGCTCAAGATGTGACACTTTGATAGGATACGTAAAAATATAGCAAGAAACTCAAGGGCTGCTAAATTCAAATTGAAAAAAAAAATTGTTTCTAAATATCTTTGGTTGTTTCACGTTTTGTATTTGAACCATACATTATAATTTTAGATACATTAGTGACGAAGGTTAAGTCTGTCTGTAAGATGACTAGCCGCCAGTGATAGCGAAAGAGATAGCAGATGCAAGAAGACGCAAAGGAATTGCTTTGCTGTGTCAAGTCAAATGCATAAATGTATTCTGCGTGGGGGGTGGGCATGGAAACTGAAGGAGTAACTTTCGGCAGTGAGATGTGTCGCTACCAACATTACTCTGTGGAGAAGATGCTGCAAAGTTGCGATTTTCCTGAATATGTAGCCAGTATTTACCAATTTCAAACTACATCTGTAAGCCTGCATGCTGTGGTTGCCTGCCCGAAGTTCGTACCTCTCAAACAAGTAGAGCCTACATTTCCTGATGAATTATTTATGGCAATGTATCATCTTGAGCGCTTTACTGATGCTGGTGTCATTATAGAGATTGCAACTTAGCATTAATGCTAGTAACTAAAGCGAGTTTAATAATAATATCTCCATTTGTTAACAAGAAAATAATATAACCTTGAACTAAATTCAAAGTTTGACACAGATACATAATTGTCTAACCTAAAAGTGCTTAAGTTAACTGATGAATTAAATATTTTTTATTTTATTATGGAATAAACTTACAAGATTTGAAACAGATCGGGGAAAATTGTGGGAGTAACCTGGCCTATGAGAATAATTAAATCTGTAGTTTTTCCTGCAGCGATTGAATGGGCCGCACATGTGACTGCCAAGCTCTTGGTTTTAAACAGTTTTGGTACTAAAACTTTATCGTTTAAGATATATGTTACTTTCATATTTTATTCATGAATCTCTTTGAGCGATTTGAACAGAGGCTCGAATTTACCTCGTATTGTATACACATATTTATCACTGTAATATTCTGATTCTAGCCAATATGAACCTCAGTTCGTAGTGTCAAAATTAGAAGCTCTCCAGAGGTGGCCAAAATTGAATGAACGCCGAAATTTTGTATTTATTTGTGGTTCATTTAATGACGCTGTGTGTGGAATGTCGAAAGTGGGCGACGACAGTTATTTTGTGAGGTTTCGTGCTTGTAAATTGCCACAAAAATCGCGATATTTTATGAGTGTCATTATAATTTGTTCTTGAATATAAAGTTCAGTTTATTTTATCAGCAGGAGAAAGCGCAAACATATTTCTGAACAAGTCCCGATTCGAGCATTTTAAATATCGACTGCTTTTGATGACTTTCATCAAGAATGTTCTGGTGATAAGAGTCCAGTATTATGATAAGTTCGTGTACATGAAGTGATATCCTCTGGCGAGATACGTAAATATTTCCTCGCCTGAAATTTTACGAAATGATTGATACCTGATAAGTTTCAGCATTTTAATTTATTATAAAATATACAACACAACTCATTCCTCCATAAATGAGGGATTTTAAAAATATATATGACATTTTCACGTTCTCATAAGATATAAATTTACTCGTTGAAAAGTATCTTTGGTTTGAATGTCGGAGATACGAATGTTTTCTATTTGATATAATAAATATGAGACAAATGAAAATACCACAACTTAGAGAGCTTAGAATCATACGTAACAATTCTTTCTCGTTAATTAAATGTTCCTGTAGCATGATTATACTAGTATACATTTTACCTACCTACCACTCGGCGCTACAGCCATAGGTGAGCCTTAGCCTCCTCTACAACCAGTCTCCACTGCTCTCCCGAGTGCTGGTTGTTAGGTTTCTGAACAAAATTCTTTTTACGGGATGAGGTTGTTGGCCTCATGCGCAACCCCCAACCTGAAGGCCCAGGGTATCTCTCTTAGTCTGGACTCTACCCTTTCACATTTCCGGCATGGGTGATCCTACCGGTAGTTAAACTACCGCCAGCATAGCTCTCCAGGTCACAGAATCACGTAAGCCTCACCACCACGACAAGGTGGCCCCCTTTGGGGGCTTATATACATTTTACTGCCTTTAAAAAGTAGGAAACACAAGATGAACACAGTTATATGCACAACCTCTGTCTGTCTGATCTGTAATTGAGAGCTCGAGATAAAGTTTTGGTTTAAAACACTAAACAGTGGGAGCCAGAATAGCGCAGTCAGTATAGCGACTGGCTGTGGGCTGGACGGCCGAGGGGTCGGAGTTCGAGTCCCGAGAGAACCAAGAATTTTCTTTCCTTCAAGTCGTCAAGACCGATTCTGAGGCCCATCCAGCCTCCTATCCGATGGGTACCGGGAGCTCTTTCCCCGGGGGTGAAACTGACTGCTCACTTCCAACAAGTGACCTCCACTCTCCAGATCCACTTTGATACTGCCTCACTGTCTACTTCTAGGTCTCCCAGATAGTTTTCCCTTCAGTCTTTTTGATTTAAAAATTAGGCTCATTTACCGTCCCTCACAAACGCAGGTCATGCCTAGTCTACCTCGTAATCCTCGATTTCAGTATCGTAATAATATTTGATGGCGCACAAATTATGAAGCTTCTCCAGCGTCCTGTTATGTCCTTCCCCTGAAGTCCAAATAGTGTCCTCAGCGCCCTGTTCTCGAGCACTGTCAATCAATGCTTCGCTAGTGTATTCCGTCATCATAATCTTCATTCATAAACTGAATCAAGTTCAATTATAAAACCCACGTCTATTTCACTTTATGCATATGAACTGCGAACAATGTTAGCATTCGTAGGTTTTGAGGTTTTCACGGCGATGACTATGAAGAAAGTCGTCTTCTGGGATCTGGCGCCGTGTATTCTTGGTTTTAACCGACGTTTCGGATGAACATATCGCCTCCATCTTCAGGGTAGTTGAGTTGCGTGCGAATACAATGATTGCAATCATTGCAGCTACAGCTATCTGTATTAGCACGCAACTCAACTACCCTGAAGATGGAGGCGATATGTTCCTCCGAAACGTCAGTTAAAACCAAGAATACACGGTGCCAGATCCCAGAAGACGACTTTCTTCAATGTTAGCATCCGATTTAAATCCCAGATCTTACTACCGACCGCCTCTATGGTCTAATGGTCAGAGTGGTCAGAGGTCCGGGTTCGATTCCCGGCGCTACCAGATTTTTTCTGAGAAGTAGTGGGTCTGGAACGGGCTCCACTAAGCCTCGTGATGATAAGTGAGGAGCTATTTCAAGGAAATAGCGGTCTAGAAAACCCAAATTAACGGCCGTGAGGATTCGTTGCGCTGACCACGCGACACCCTCTATCCGATAAGGTTGACACTATGAATGAATGAATTTATAAGGGGTGAGCCTTCTCGGCCCTTGCACCGCGACCTACAGTGATCTATTGTGCCTCCCCTTCTGATTATCCCCTCAGCAATCCTGCGCTTCGAATGAAGCGTAGGATTTTGTACGTGGTGGCGTCAAAATAGTCACTTGGTTCCATAAAATATTGACCCAAGTGACGTAATTTTAAATAAGTTAGGGCCTCACATTCACACAAGACGTGTGTGGCTGTTTTATTTTCTTCCTGACACCTCTCACAAGTGGGAGTCTTACTATTGGCACTAACTTCGCCGACAAGCGGCGGTCGCTCGGTCGGTATAGTTCGCTTGCGAACTTAAACCACGAGTTTGTTTTTTTATTGATCTTACTGCTTCATTTTATAATAAAATCTTTTGATTTTCATTTCTGGAGAAACTTTTCAAGGCCCTGGCCATAAAATCACTTAATTTAATTTCTTAAGACCCAGTGGAGTGTTGTATATTTAAGTGTTTTTATTATGTGCTTTGACACCCACTTCGATATTTCGATATCTGAATCGACTCTACATGGTCCGAGCTACTAACAGCGTCGTTGAATGAATTTGAAATGATTCGTAAATTAAAACTAATATTTTAATTCACGTCATAGTCCATAAGCAACGAGGGAAAATTGCAGAAAACGAAGTTTACTGTTACATCTCTGGCGCTTCTGTTTATCTGTACAGCCGAAACATGTTTTGAGTAAGAATTTACACGTCTGGAAGTGGTTTGATATGCAGGAACATGCATTAATATACCAGTGTTTTAAAATGTACGCGTTAGGCAATATTTAAAGACATTGACGGTATAAATATAAAATGTATTTAAAATATTAAATGATAAGCTTAAATACAAGTTAACTACTCAGTAAAATTTCGCGTGTTTATGAGGGAAGATTTGTTCTGATATCTCTGAACTGCTTGTCGGTACCCTTCTTCACCCTGCCGACTCTTCTAGATATATAAAACAAGCAGTCCCCTCTATAAAATGCAGCACCCACCACCACCACCAACTTCGCCAGCTTTATTCGATTCTATGGTAAAGCGAATAAAGTAACTTGATAACGACAACCGAGTGGAGTTCTGTGCGCGCATGCCGTCTAAGTTCCTCGCGTACAGTGCGCCTGCCCCCCGCGAGGTAGGCAACCCAACCGACATGTTGCTCGGTGCTTTCAATAACGTGGACAGCCGTGCCGCGTGAAGTTCGTGGTAGCTGAGGACATCGCAGCAGTCGGGCATCGCTCCACGCCGTACGCACGAGGTTTCAGTAATCAGGCAAATGAATGTCGCTTTACTGTAGTATTGTGCTACAACTTTACAAATAGTGTTTCTACGAACCTGCTCCTTTTGGTGCAAAATTCATTTTAAGAGCTTGGAGATTGATCAAATTTAACTGTAGAATTGAGCAGTAGTATTAATTGAAGCGAAAATATTTCAGTAGTTTATTATAAAGCAAACCTGTTTCAGACACGGAGATTTTTAATCAGTAGTATTTTCTCTGCCCATACATTGCTTTACTAGTAGAATATTGCCTACTGAAGTTACAGTTCAATGGAATTGTGATTATAATTATACAACTGAAATTATTTCATTGTGGACATCTCTAAATATATGCGTATGCTGGAAAAGAATATTTTTCATTTAAAATTTATTCTAAATTTCAGGAGTAGGTTCTAGGTGCACTCTTAGAAATTAAATTAATCGTTAGTCGTTAACGAACAATCGCATTATATTAGACCTCTCATACTTATGTTACTAAAATTAATTAATTAATAGCAAAATATCACGACGGAAGCTTATTGGTTATTACAATTAATGCTCGTGGACTGTGCTTGTGCATTTCCCAGGTATATGTAAATGCATTCTGTATTGAAATTAAAAGTTTTCTTGTAGGTATGCACGTTTATGGCCCTTTATTATTATTATTATTATTATTATTATTTGATATTTTATTGTTGCCATTGTTATTCTAATAAAAATACTAATTGTATATATTTTAATTTTCTCACTTCTCCTAAATGATAGATTGGATTTATGTTGATTGAGTTATTATTATAACTATTATCGTTGTTTCTAAATATTTATACTTTACATTTCTCAATTCTGAATAGCAACTTAGATTTGTGTTAATGAAATTTGTATTATTATTTTGTTTGTTTGCTTGCTTACTTTTCTGCATTAATGAGTCTTTACTCCAGTGCTTACATTCAATTAGTTTTTGATTTTATGTTGTGCTTGTCCATAATGTAATTACATGTATCTACACTGTGCCGTGTCTGTAATTGGCCTTGTAGCTATTGACTCGGCACATAAATAATAAAGGTTTGAATTGAATAATAATAAAGAATTCAATTGAATTAACTGTGCTGCTTAAAATCTTTTAAGAGCTACAATTATTTTATTTACTGATGTTACGAACTATGAAGTTTCCGTACGTGGATTCAAAATATTCACATTCATGGTATGAATGGTGGCTACTGAAATATATTATTTTCTTTCCCCTTGGCACTACAGCCCCAGTGGGCCTAGACCTACCTCCATGAACTTCTCCGTTCACCTCGGTTTTTCTAGACCTTACACATTCGGTAGGGCTCCTTGGGCGGGTGATCAGCTCGTCGCAAGGCCTCTACCTGTACACAAACATAGAAAATCGCACACACACACAAACTAAACATCCATACCCTGAGTAGGATTCGAACCCACGATCCCGGTTTCCAAGTGAGCGAAGCCAGTACATGCCTTAGACCACTCGACTATCGTGACCGGCGAAATATATTTTTACTACTTAAAATTATTTTATTTATATAAATTCTCTATATAACATTAACTTTTTGCTAATAACTCTCAGTTTTACACATACTGATATATTACCTTAATTGAATAAATTTCCGGTCATGGCTAATTACAGATTACATGTGTTTATTAAATTGTCTACTCTTATGCAAACGTAGTTAATAAATTTTCGACTGATAACTAACGTTAGAGTCTGGTGTTTGGTGAATATAATTGGTTTGATTTAATGGGAGTTGTTCTTAGAACATGTAAACGACATTAATTTGGTAATTCCTGTGTCTTAATGCCGAAACTCTTCCACTTTGAACAATCTCGCAGTTTTGCGACGCGTTTAGTAAATCAGCACAATTCAAAAGAACTTTGCGGTCAAAAAAATTGACGTGGCACTTATTTCTGTGCCACGGGTATATAATAAATACTCGTAAGGTGACTCTGTGCAGCACGAGCGTATTTATAGTAGAATGATTTATTGAAAGGCTACATGTATCTAACAGAAACACTACACGAGTCATTTGAAATACATTAAATGCTCGCTTATATTTGATCTCTTACTGCTGTGTTTGATTTAAACTTTTTTTTCCTTGGCACTACAGCCCCAGTGGGCCTAGGCCTACCTCCATGAACTTCTCCGTTCACTTCGGTTTTTCTAGATCTTACACATTCGGTAGGTCTCCTTGGGCGGGTGATCAGCTCGTCGCAAGGCCTCTACCTGTATTCAAACACAGAAAAACCCACACACAAACTAGACATCCATGCCCTGAGTGGGATTCGAACTCACGATCCCGGTTTCCAAGCGAGCGAAGACAGTACATACCTTAGACCGCTCGGCTACCGTGACCGGCGATTTAAACTTTAGTTGCACATTTTTAACACATTTAGCCGTAAATTGCTTTTTACAGTTACCAAAACTGACATGCAGTTTGTTTTAAGAATTTATTCTTAGGCTTGGCAACTAGAAAAGTCTTTTATACGATTCAAAGTTAAGTATGAGAAAGGTGAATAAGTTGCAATCCTCATTTTATTTCCATAGTTCTTTATTCATGCTTTCTGTTCTTGTTTTCTTCCTCTGCATCTCGGATTTTGATAAATTAATTTCAATAACAATTAAAGGTTTCCATAGAGTGTCTTCATAAAAATTCATAACCATTTAAATGATATTCATAAAAAATTGAGATGCGTGGCACAAAGAGTGAAGAAGTTTACATTTGTATAAGTTGCAAAAATTCGAAACTTGCGGCTGAAATTTATAATCTTATGTGACTGATTTTAGAAATCTACGTTGTGCTGCAGAGGCGTGATATAAAAAAAAACAATTGGAACAAAATATGAAGAGGAAAAAATAAGCAAAAAACTACATGTGTATAAGCACCTGTTTTTGTTTTGTTTTTGCTCTTTCCTTTGTTGTTGTTGTTGTTGTTGTTGTTGTTGTTGTTGTTGTTGTTGTTGTTGTTGTTGTTGTTGTTGTTGTTGTTGTTGTTGTTGTTGTTGTTGTTGTTGTTGTTGTTGTTGTTGTTGTTGTTGTTGTTGTTGTTGTTGTTATTGCTTTTATTTCTTGTTCGAGAAAATTCATGCAATAAATCGATAGTGCGAACAGAACTTCATAAAATTCCTTGTAGATAATCACGCTGCTGGCTATCAAATATAAATAATATGAATGACCCTAAACCTTTCATATCAAATTTCAAACAGCTTCTTTGCTTCTACCTTATTCCAGGCCTAGCTAATAAAAGATGCGGAATGTGACATTTGTTTATGTATCACTTAACTCCGTGGCCTGTATTCCGCAAGCGAACTATACCGACCGAGCGACCGCCGCTTGTCGACCAAGTCGGTGCCAACTTTAGCGGATAGAGGGTGTCGCATTGTCAGCGCAACGAATCCCCGCGGTCATTGATTTCGGTTTTCTATACCGGAGCCGCTACTTTTCCATTTAAGTACCTCCTCAATTATCCTCACGAACCTGAGTGGACCCCGTTCCAGATCCACTACTTTGTGGGCATGCGGTAGCTTAGTTGGTTGAGGCACTATGCTACAAGTCGGAAAGTCGTGGGTTCGATTCCCGGTTAAGTCATTGGATTTCTTTTTTCTTCCCCCCCCCCTCCCTACTCCTCTGCCGCACCATGGTCCTGAGGTCTACAGAATTGAGTACCAGGAATCTTCGTGGGGTAGAGAAGCCGGCGCGTAAGGCTAACAACCTCACTGCCATCTGAGAGCCGATTATTTAGATAATGTTGGAGCCTCGACGTCTCACAACCCTTTGGGCCTCCACGGCCTGTTAAAGGGATAGTTTTACCTTTTCTTACAATCAAGATTTTAGTTTCTTATCTGTCCCTTTGAGACATGTTACCAGATATGTAGGTACTAATAGTTTTAAATTGTGCTAAGAATAACATTTGAATGACTTTGTCCCGTTTCTTGACTTCCAGGTATTTGGTATCAAAGTGACACTTAACATTGTCAGTCTGGCTGGACCCAGAAGAGGTCACGGCAGTAAGATACGCAGTAGTGCGGTTAAAGACTCTGGTCTCGAACCTGGTACCACCAGCAGGAAGGCAGTCGTCACTACTAGCAACAGTGGGAGACCAGCTCCAGGCTGCCGCTGTTTACCGCCCGCGTGCCGCAAACACATCTCCAAAATTCTCTCTGTGTTGACTCGCCGGCTGAGGTTACGCCGCTACACCAGGCTAGGCGCTGGCGGCGGACCGGTGAGTGACACGGCCACTACATGTAGCGTTGTGTTTTATGCTGAATTCTGACTTTTAAATAGCCTGTCACGTTAAGTTTTGAGGAAATAAATATCCTATTAAACCTCCTAGGCTGTCATAATAGAATGATATAGTAAGGTAATCAAACCTTCTAATTAGCCTAATTACATTCACTTCAGCTTTCAGTAGTTATATATTCAGAGGATTACACACGATATAGGATGCAACCAACTGGTACGTATAGGCCTCGTCAAAACTATGTGTTTTCCTTTTGGATATTGGTAGTGTGCTGTAATATGCGTGTTGTTCATCCTGTAGGGAGAAAACATTTTATAATATTAAAATTTTATTAGGAGCTTCCCATCGTCCATGTCAGGAAGGTCTCTGGGGCTTTCTACGCAGCAGATATTTGAAGCGCTTTCCAGTAAGAAATTACTTTGTAGTTTGTGGATTATCGGTTCCTACAATTTACTACAAGGTGCATTTGATAGAGACTATGATTGAATAAGGTAACTGGTCTGGTGGTTCTCTCGATGGACCTTTCGAGTGACGATAATTATCTTCGTTGAAACGTATGTTCACATTCCAACTGAGTTTAAGACGTATTTAATGTACTTTCGAAAGATCGAAAATGTTATTACGACTTCCTCTCAAATAGAGTCGAATTTTTGCCCCTGCAAAGATTGATGATAACGGTTAATAAGTAGGCTAGGTCTCGCAAAACTCAACGTCATTGAACGCTGATTTTATTTTTTTAATACTGTGTCCACATGCTGGTCTGCTGTCCTTGTTTCTACCTTTCGGCACAAATGTGAAAATATAGTATGAAACAGTTTCATGTGCGTAGGTACAGTGACGCTGTAGATTATTAATAGTGAACATAACGTCAGCAGTTCGCGCCTTCGCCATCTTAATTCTCATCATAGCGAACCATACAGAACAAATAAACTCAGTGGTTTTAGTCCGCAAGCGAATTATACCGACCGATCGACCACCGCTTCTCGGCGAAGTTAGTGCCAACTTTAGCGGATAGAGGGTGTCGCGTGGCCAGCGCAACGAATCCCCACGGCCGTTAATTTAAAACCATACAGAATATTTTGTAAAATATTTTGAGCCATGTTTATTGTCTCCCATACCACATACCTGCAGATCTTCTTCGCTTATTTTTATCATCTCTAGAACACAACTATGTTGTTACCATGCTGTCCGTTTTCGAACAAAGTTATTTGAACGAAAGGAATTCAGAACTTTATTTTTTTTATTGGTAGTGGTGTGGGACTAAGTCCCTTGTACTGCAGCCACTTCTGGCCTATTGTACCAGCCCCAGATGATAGGTGAGGGTGATTGTGGAGCAATTGGTGAAATGAAGATTGGCAGAGGAGACCGAAGTATTCGGAGAAAACCTGCCCTAGCACCACTTTGTCCACCACAAATCCCACTTGACCAGACCCGGGATCGAACCCGGGCCGCCGAGGTGGGAAGGCAGCGACTAACCGCTTGAGCTATGGCGCGGCCCTTTCAGAACTTTAAGAGGTCTATTATCCTACAAATTTGCAGGACTCTGCTTTGAGTTTTTCTGTTGCTGTGCCAACTTTGACACTTTACACAACAGCCGTGTTGAATCGTCAGATTACGGACCAATTTCTGCACCATAGTGAACTTAAACTGCTGAAGGTCAGTAGACCAAATCATATTCAAGATATTAAGGGGACACACAGACACACGCCCAGCTTGGTAATATTTATAAGCCAATCTGAAAGAACCCTGTATGAATATATGTTCTTAGGTGAATAGCACTGTGTGGATAGAAGGTATCTGTTGATACATCGTAGTTAAAATATCCAGCCCTTTGGTTTATTGGTTTATCTGTTTCTTTGACGTCATACATAATAATAGAGAAGGGATTGGCACATTTTTAGACGTTTCTTCTTTGTTATAAAAACATTTATATAATAGGAAATCATTTGTTGTGATGGTAATTTATCATATTCTGTAAAATGAACATGTCAGTAGCAGTTGTCAAATGTATTTTATAGTGTCTAGCTCCCCTCTCTGTACCAGTGAGATATAATGTGGTATTTCAATCACGAATTTGTGGTGCCCAGTAATCAATAAAAAAATGAAACTCTACAGTGAGACACTTCGGTTCCTCTGCCACGAAAATGGCAGAGCGATCTTGAACGGAAAGGAAAACTGGCCTGTTTAGCATGATATAGATGAGTGAATAAGCATTGAAGATGGTAGCAGAGGTGGATGACTGAAGAGTTTGTAGTCTTCACTACAGTAGGTTTGCCCACTACTGAATCCGACTCTGGTTGACGGATCTATCTAGCTATCTATATACCTACCTATCTCTCATTCTGTATGTGGTTCTACAGCCCTTGTGGACCCTGGCAGTTTTTCAGTTTCTTAATCCGTACAGAGTAGGTAGGATTCCTTGGAAAGGGGATCAGTAGGTCTCAAGGCTGCTGCCTACAAACACAGAATAAACTCACACAGACATCCATGCCTGGAGTGGGATTCGAACTCAGGATTCCAATTTTCGAGCGGATGAAGATGGTTCATGCCTTAGGCCGCGCGGCCACTGTGATCGGCGTTTCACGGATCTACAAACGGGTAGTAGTAGTACTTCTAGTATCGCCAATCCAGTGAAGGGGGAGTAACGTGAAGCTCCCTTCAGCGTCCTTCGAACGTATCGCTCGTAATCACCATTTCATTACTCATTGAACGCGATATGTCCTTTACGTTTAGTGATCACGGCGTCCGATCGCTCGTTTGAGGATTCCTACCAGGCAGACGTCAACAAATTTCCGAAACTCTGAAGCGGAATGCCTCGGACAGCACTGGTTTTCCATGTGATGTAAGAAGTATGCTCTGCATTTGCCGCAAGAAAAGCTGGGATGAAATTTTCATGTAGCCTGTCTTATACGAGTACACATATTTCTAAAACAATTTACAAATTCGCAAATAATTATTCTTCGAAATTCATATTTTAAATCGATTAAAACATGAAGAAGAAATATATTTACGAGTACCTTTATTAAGATTTGAGCTACTTCTCTTGTTTTCCAGTTTTAAATTTTTTAAGAATACTATCTGTCCATATAGATAAACCGGCAATAAATTTCCAACCATTTGAGAGAGGTTCTGGTTCAGGGGGCCGGAATAGACCTTATATTATGTGGGCCTACTTTAAATCTCTGGGGCACGCGGTAGCGTAGTTGTTTGAGGTACTATGCTACAAGTCGGGAGGTCGCGTGTTCAAGTCCCGATGAAGTGGATTTTTTCAATTGACCTGATCCTTCCAGCCGCACTATGGCCCTGCGTTCGACTCAGCCTCTAACAGAAATGAGTACCAGGAACCTTCTNATATATATTTTTTTTAATTTTAAATCTCTTTCTCTAGCAAACGTCGTGTCCAGCTTGTTTCTTCGGAAAATCGTTTTTATCTTCTTTCAGATATCCAAATTCCTTGAATCTTCATCGGCATTGAAGCTGAAAGGAAATGACATCAACCTCAGGAGAGAGTGATGTCCCCTTACATTGAGACGAGAAACTGGAATCTTATAAAGAAATTTAATTATAGTTCGAGCGCTGTTCTGGACTCTGTAATCCGTTCCCACTTTACTGTCATGCAGAACAGCTAAAAGTAAAAGCAGTGAGCTTGCACTGAAAAGGTACCATATTCGTATCTCGAGCGGGATATATAGTCTATCTGAATGATTCTGTTTTGTCACAGTCGAAACTTATAATAGCTGACGACTTCTTCCTCGCCATTGTTTTATATTAATTTACATAATCATTTTGCCATTTCACGTGACGGTAAACAGTTCCTGAATAAAAATTAGAGTAATTAACTATAGAGTTGTTTAAAGTAAGTGCCACTGAATACGGCAGGCGAGTGACGCATTGTTGCGCAGACCCAGAGTTACAAGGTCACGATGCTGCTAGTTGTTCCCTTCACTCTCTCGACAACAAGTGCGTCGTTAATGTACTCTTAGGAACTGGGAACGGCATGTTCTCGCTCATCATTATCCACTTCTTGCTTGAAATTACCGAACATTTTAAACATTAAGTGTTTGAGTTGCTTTTGAAAAATCCGGTGTTTGGATCCTTCGCCTTCCATTCAAAGTTTTACGTAAGAGACACTAAAACAAACACCTGAAACATTTTTTTGTATAAAAGTTCCTTCGTACTGATTAAGTCCCTACCCTTGTCTATGAAATTCAACAGGCCTTATAACAGATGTTATGCCCTTATATACCCTCGCTCCAAAGTCTGCTACAGATGTAAAAGAAAAAATTTCGTTCTTGACTGAGTCAGGGCTTCAGTGCGCCTCAACATATGGCTGCCCACAGATGCTGTGTTTCCTAATCCTTCTCGACAGGCTCATGCTCATCTCACGTTCCGTTCAGAACCTGCAGTTCATACCTTATTTTAAATAACACGCGATTCGGTCATTCTGTTTAATCGTGTCATTTGTTTTGGAAAACAATGTACCTACGTAAGTGATCATAGCTATTTTGGGCTTATGCCACTTTTAGAGATAGACCCTACATGAATAACATCGCTGCACTCTGCGTGTTAGTATTGGCATCTGCGTAAAAACATTTTTCTTAACTAAATTGCACTTTCTTCATAGTCTCTGTGTAGACTAGCGTCAGTGTCACTAAAATAGACCTAGTTAATTTACAGCTTAGTTTTCGTATATGTTCAGGTATCTTAAACACTTCTCCGCGTTTGTAGAGGTCCGAAACTGCTAGGATTTGACATTAATGATTTATATGTACGGAAATTACGTGGCTGTTAACATCATTTCATGTTCGGGAAGATTGCAGACTGGAGTCGCACGCGAAGACCTCATGTCTTGACCAAGGTTTCCTGTGGTGTCGCACAGGTCCTCAAGACAAATCCTAAAATTCTACATTAAAATAAGTCATGTTAGTTTCCATACATTTCATAACCACTTTCATTTATAATCATCCAGGCGGTCAGCGTTG